GTACGTACCAAAGATATGGAAGGTGGCAGAAATTATAATGACACTAAAACCAGGAAAACCTCCACAAGAAGCTTCTTCATATAGGCCTATTTCACTGTTACCTGTCATCTCTAAATTATACGAAAAATTACTCTTGAAGAGACTAAAACCGATTATAGAAGAAAAAAATTTAATTCCTAACTATCAGTTTGGGTTTAGAGCAAGCCACTCAACGATAGATCAGGTGCATAGAATAACAGATATCATAGAAAAAGCTCTAGAAGAAGGAAAAGTTTGTTCCGCAATTTTCCTCGATGTAGCGCAGGCTTTTGACAAGGTGTGGCATGATGGACTATATCATAAAATGAGATGCTACTTACCAAAACAATATTCTGAACTACTAGAATCATATATATCCGACAGATACTTTCGAGTTAAATATGAGGAAGCATATTCAGAATTAAGAGAAGTTAAAGCTGGAGTTTCACAAGGAAGTGTCCTGGGGCCAGTGCTATACCTGCTCTATACCAGCGATATTCCATCATTAGAACCTAACACAATTGCGACATTTGCAGACGACACATGCATACTAGCAGTCGGACAAAACCACGAGGATGCAGCTACCATGTTACAGAACTCTGTTGAACAAATTAACATCTGGACCAGCCGATGGCGTATCAAATTGAATGAAACAAAATCTGTTCATGTCAATTTTACTAACAAAAGAGAACAACATATCCCAGTACATATAAATAGAAACCAAATACCTTATGCAAATACGGCAAAATATTTGGGTATGACGTTAGATTCCAAGCTACGTTGGAAAGCACATGTTAAGAAAAAAAAGAAGGAATTAGAAATTAAGTTCAGAAAGATGTACTGGTTGATGGGAAAAAAATCCACTCTGTCTATTTACAACAAATTGCTATTATATAAGCAAGTCCTTAAACCGATATGGACATACGGAATACAGCTATGGGGCTGTACAAAAGAAAGCAACATCCAACATATACAACGATATCAGAATAAAGTATTAAGGAACATCGTTAACGCTCCATGGTACTTTAGAAACTGTGATCTTCATCGAGACCTCCAGATGGATACAGTTATCCAGACAATAAGTAAGTTTGCCGAGAGTCATGAACAGAGGCTCTCCAACCACGTGAACGTCGAGGCCATCAAACTCCTAGACAACGCCAACCAGATAAGAAGACTAAAGAGAACGAAGCCGTTTGATTTAGTGCTATAAGTGAGTGAAAGTGAAAAAGCAGAGTAAAGTGCGGCTAAAGTGTACACGTTAGCTAGTAGTACTATAATGTATTAGAGCCTAAGGAATATTGCTGAATATAACCTTAGATAAGTTTCTTGTAATATTTATATATAGAACTAACTTGCTTATTGATCATAGTGAATGATCAGATAGCAATAGTCATAAGATTCCTGTTGGAGTTTTATTAAACAAAAAAAAAAAAAAAAAAACAAAACATTCTTAGCTAAATTATATTTTTATGTAAGTACAATATTTTAATTTTGAATATTTTATGACATTGATTATTATAATGATGTTTGATTTATGTCAGAAAGACACTCGTGTCTGTTTTTGTTATTAATAACTAGCTCTAGATTGTTATTATGCTTACGTAAAAAGTGACGCCAAATATGAATATTTAAATTTTTTTAAAATATAGTATTTATAGTCAGAAAATCATATGTTAGAAAATTAAAGTATTAATTTTCGTAAGATAGAATGTAATTATAGATATTGCTTAGTTTGTTAATATCAGTTTTTTTTATTAACGCATTGATATTTATTTATGCATACCATTTCTAAAAATTCTCTTTTATTTAATTGGTTTTTTAACCTCATGTTGTAAGTTTTTATAATAGTTTTATACAATGTTTTTTAATTCTAATTACATTGTATTTACCATATCATATTTTAGCATATCCTGATGAAGCAATTAAATTTTGCGAAAGCTTGATTTAAGAACAAAGAGTTTAACTTATCCTGTCCTACTTAAATGACTGCATCCTCAAAATAAAACTTTATTTTACATAACGTGTCAGTCAATAATACCTAACTACTTTATATATATATATATATATATATATATATATATATATTCATACTACTACTAATAAATATATATATATATATATATATATATATATATTATATATATATATATATATATATATATATATATATATATATATATATATATATATATAACTTAAATTCAAATGAAAGACAGCAGACTTGCTCTCATTTTTCTTATGCATAAAGTTTGTACTTACCTACTGGATTGAAAGTAGGTGTATGTGGATAACTTTTTCCAGATTTACAATTGCAGTAAATATGATTCCAAGGTCTCCATGGCTCTTTTTCAAACGAGGGATTAAAACTAGGGGATGTATATTCCACAGTAAATTGTTTCTCATTACCTAAGTAGAGAAGAGTTTCGATGCTGCTAATAAAACTTCTTACAAACTCAGAATGAAGTAAATGGCTACTGCCTGTTCGAAGATCTGGGTATTTTCCAGTTTCGTTTTTTATTACCAAATGTGCCTAAAAATAATAATGTATTGTTAAATATTTTATAACTGACACTGATCATCGGAAAAAAATATACACATTGAAATTATCTAGGTATATTTTTTTAGGCAAATAATAATTACCTTGTACTATTAAAAACTGTTAAAGATACAATAGAATTTATTTTATTTGATAAAGTACTAGGTTATCTTTAAATAAAAAAAAAAATATTGACATAAAAGACAGCAATAACTAAAATAAAAATTATTTTTGCTTAACCCTGTTAAATATATAACCCACCAGTCTCCTACAGTTTGACCACACTGGTTTATTAAAAGTCCATTATACCGGGTGGTGAATCGTCAAACGGGCCATAGGAAACTCAATGAGAAATTTTAAATTGTTGAATTGCTGCTTCCCTAATTATTTTAGATCAAAAGTCATAAAAAACTATTTGTAGAGGACTAAAATCTGAATTAAAAACAAATGTTAAAACCGTTCTACGAATCAAATGTACTTCAAAATTTTGCAAAAATATAATACATTTTTCAGGCCACCCCTAAAAGTTAGGCCACACGTAATGCAAGAATATATATTAGGACGTGTGTGTTTTATCATATTAATGTCAGATGTTTGACAATTTGAATTGTCAATTTTTTTATTTTATGATTAAATTATAAACAATGAATTTTACTAAATACTACTACTAATGAACATTATTACTTTGTGAACAATAAATTATATTGTTTACAAATCGATCAATATAATGAAATGTACTCAGTTGACGAAAAATCGCATAATGTTGTATTCAGGCAATAGCGCGAACCTTTTCCTGCCACTACCGGATCTTTATTTAACGTAAGATATTCTAATTCACTAAAATTTAATTCCATGTTAAGTTAGTTATACAACAATTCAATGAATTCCAATATACTGTTACTGTAATCTTTATTCCTAATAATAATATATGATAATTTCTAAACATAAAACTATAACAAATGTTATAATAAAACATGAATAAAACATTTTTATTATTGCTTTATTCTCCTCAACTGAGTACATTCTTTAATCAACTTATTTTTTTTTTAACAATAAATCACAAAATTTTGGCCATTTAAATCATAGATAAATGTAATATAATTAATTTAAATATTGTCAAATATCAGAAACAATAATATGACACAACGCAACACATAATACACATTTTTTCACAGAAAAATGTATTATATTTTAGCAAAATTTTGGAATACGTTTAAATCGTAGAATAATTTAAACAGTTGTTTTCGATAGATACATATTTGAGTCCTCTACAAATAGTTTTCCATGACTTTTGGTATAAAATAATTAGGGAAGCAGGAATTCAACAATTTAGAATTTCCCATTGAGTTTCCTATGGCCCGTTTGACGATTAACCACCCTATATATATATATATATATATATATATATATATATATATATGACGCATGGTAGAACAGTATAATTTATTTAATACGCAATTCGTTTTACTGATAACAGAAAAAACAATTGTTTATTTGACAAGAAATTTGATAGCAATAAAAAATTCTATTCGCTTAAAGTTGCAGTTCATCTGCCTCTTGGCAGTAACTTAAACGAAGGTGGCAATCTTTTTGAAGATTTTGGATCATTTCGGGAATTATATTAGTAATTTTCAATCTAATTATACCTATCTGTCAAATCTTGTAATTGTTGTGTTCGATAGATAAAAAGTTTTGATTTTTAGTAACCCAATAGGAAAAAAATCAAGTGTTGTAAGATCTAAACATCTTGGGTCTACTTTATTGTTACTCGTCTACCAATCCTAGGAAAACATCTGTTTAAAAAAATTGCAAACAAAAGTGTGAAGTTACGCGGTTTTGCTAAAACTATATTATGTTTTCATTTGGTAAATTGCAAATATTCATTTGAGCGGGTGTAACACCATTAGTTTAGTAGAAGGTATATAAAATATTGCAATAAATCATAATTTAAAATTAAAAATATAAAATTTATACTAAATGTAAAACAGTATTTTAGTATTTTAGTATTTCTCCCCAAAGTCATTTATTCTTTCTTGCGGGATTTGCTGTAAACTAAACGGACTTGTGCCAAAAATCGTAAAAATATTTTAAGTACTTAAAAGTGGTATATGTGCCAAGCCCGATGCTCTATAAAGTGGGCTAACCTCATAACTGCTCAAAAGTAGGTCTGAAGAACGTCACAAGATCCTGTGCGTGTCAAATACCAGGCATCACAAAGTAAAACCCAGGCTAAGTGCCAGCGCGGTAAGAGACAATAGAATAAACCAAACAAACTGCAGTAGAGCTGTGTTTGAGGTTAGAATTGTTTATTCAATTGTTTACAATGAATAAGAGGATATGTAGCAGTGTTAATATTGGAAAAAAAATTAAACTACGTAAGAAAGGGTTGGGAAAAAAAGTGAAATTTTACAAGAAGTTGATGAAAATGAAATCATTCCACCTAAGAACCTCCACCAAGTGGTGTTGGTTATAATAGGTTAAAACCTATTATTGTTCAATAGTTTCTATGAAATTGGTGACAACGTTAAACAAAACACTTATTTAATTGGCTCGATGTGTGTTTGTCCAATAAAAGCGGAGACGGAACGAAACTTCCTGAACCTGGTACAAGTAGGCACCAAGCTTCGATTTATTATACTATTTCAAGCGGAAGTGGTGAAACTGTACAGCTTTTCAAAAATACCTTTCAAGAAGTCCACAATATGCCGAAAAGAAGAGTTCAAACATTGGTAAAAGCAAAAAAACAATACATAAAGCTTTTAAAGATCTCTATTCCTCTACTAAAATCACCTTGCGACATTATGCTGACACTATAAAAAAATGTTTTTTAATATTTGCTTTCAAGAACCTCTACAAGACACTTGTGCCACTTGAGACTTACATAAAAATCAAATACATAATATACCAAGTAGCAAGGCTGAAAATCAACAAAAATTAGAACTACACTATCGAAAAGCTGAGAAGGCTCGAAATGTGATGAAACTGGAACATGAAAAATCGCAGCTTCCAAACAGCCAGTACTTTATATGGATCTTCAACAGGTTTTCTCTATACCTACCTTGATACACTTGTAGATGTATTACTTCCGACAGATGTTATGTTACAATCTAGGTGTTCATGTGTGGGACAATAATCAAGCACTAATGTTGTTTGTTTAGCATTAGATAATAAGTGGCAGAAGGGGCAATGATATATCTTCTTTCTTACCCTTTCGGTCATTGTGTCCACACCGATGGACATCGATTTTCAAAGCATTTTCTTAAAACATCGATGGTTATTATAGCCCAAATCATTTTGTCCATGTGTGGGTACATGCATAAGAAAAGCATTGAATACATTTATAGCCATCTGTTAGTCGATTTGTGAAGCTATATAAAACGCAAAACAGGTTGCATTTAGCACGCTGTCGTGGTGGTGAAAACACCTGTTTGTTATTGGAACGATTTCTATTGAATAAACTTGTTTTTTTGTACAAATACCTGCTGATTTGGGTAAGTAAAGAGCATTAGTATAGTGTGTTTATATTATGTATCAAACTGTTGACTAAAAATATCTTATAAAGTGGTGTATATTTATATGTCCATGTAGATGGACAAAATGACTTAGGTATACTTATGCATATAAAAATTAACAAGGTCGTGTTGTTTTAGATAATCATAAAATGGAAAGTTTACCGTCAACTAGTAAAGAAAAGAGATGGTCACGACCCTTCACTGAGGATGAACTTCTGAATTTACTCATGAAAGACGATGACTCAGAAATATTACGTTTGTCAGATACTGATGACGCCAACAATATTGCGGATCTAAATGACGTTTCCTCAGAATTTGGCGATGATATTCAAGATATTGAGGAAACTATTTTTGACGGATTGATCCAAGAACAGAAGTCAACAGAAAGAGGTGAGTTAGAAAATTTAGAATATCCCAATGAAGTGACTGCAGAACAACCAATGTCTGAGGACATGAAAACCAAAGAAAATTCCAACCAAACCACTGAAAAACGAACAACTGCAAAGGAGAGACTGCTAGAGTTTTGTAAAGAGTTCAAACTCACAAATAAGAAAGATGTTTGTTGGAAAAAAAAAATATTACCTATCTTACTAGGCCAGTACAGTGGTTTGTTCCAGAAGAAGTACAAGTTTATGAATTACCTGCTCCTATTGAATATTTTATGAAATACATACCTGATGCTCTGTTTGAGAAGATTTCAGAAATGACTAACTTATATGCCGTACAAAAAATTATTACTCGGTTTTCTCCATCAGATAAAGAAGAAATAAAGCAATTTGTAGGCATTCACATTATTATGGGAAATCTAAAATTCCCAAGAGCAAGACTGTATTGGTCCCAGCTTACAGTTATTTCAATTGTAAAAGATAATAAGACATTCAATCGCTTCTCTAAGTTGCGCAATACCATTCACTTAGTAGATGTAACAGCAAGAGGTGACGAAACAGATCGCATGTGGAAAGTCCGAGAAATATATAATTCCATTAGAAATCGTTGTAGGGAACTTCAAACCGAAACAAATTTGTGCATTGACGAGCAAATTGTTCCATTCAAGGGACAGATCAATGTCAAGCAGTACCTCCCAAATGAACCGAAAAAATGGGGGGTCAAATTATGGATATTGGCTGGACAATCTGGTACCATTTACGATTTCATCATATATCAAGGTGCTGAAACGGAAATAAAAGAAAATTATGCACAGTTTGGACAAGGAGCTGGAACTGTGATGGAGCTAGTTGAGAGAATTAAAGAAACTCATCACGGTTTGTACTTTGATAATTTCTTTAGTACTTATCACCTCTTTCAATGGTTGAACAATAAATCTATTATGGCTGTCGGAACAATTAGAATAAACCGATTTTTTGGACCTAAACTAACATCTGATAAAGATCTAAAAAAAAATGGTAGAGGTAGTTTTGATGTGGCGGTTAGTGAAGATGGAATTGTGATTACAAAATGGTTCGACAATAAACCAGTTTTAGTGGCTTCAAATTTTGTTGCAGCGGGAAGAATGGATTTGTGCCAGAGATGGGATAAGACGTCGAAAGAGTATGTAAATGTATCTAGACCGGAAGCCATATCGCTTTACAATTCCAACATGGGTGGTGTTGATAAGTTAGATTTTTTATTGAGCGTTTACAGATCCTACAGATGATCCAGAAAATGGACTGTACGTATGATAACACATGCTATAGATATGGCGATAGTAAATTCCTGGTTGGAATATAGAAAACAAGCTGAACTACTAGGCGTACAACACAATAAAATCCTGGATTTGTGGGACTTTAGAATGAGTATTGGGCAACACCTCATTTTACATAGGTTCCACCAAAGAGAGGCAGACCATCTGGTCAAGAAAATACTGGTACACCAAATAATAAAAAAACCAAAACTGAAGCAAGGCCATATATTGAATTACGGTTCGACAGCTATGGACATTTTCCGAAAATAGATGCAAAAAAAGATAGTACACGTTGCAAAATGGAGAACTGTAAGGGAAAATCACATACATTTTGCGTGAAATGTAATGTTCACTTATGTTTTGTAAGCGGTCGTAACTGTTTTTTTAAATTTCATGTAAAATGATTAATTCGTTATTTACAAAGAATATTGTTTATTTCGTCATTCTAATGATATTTAAATAAATTTCTAAAATCTTCAGGTTTATTTTATTTTGCTTCAAGTCATAATGTCCATCAACATGGACATGTCATATGCCAAGTGACATATGACATATAAAAAAAAAATGATGTTAAAATTATCAACAAAAATAGTTTATTTTATACTAAATATGAGAATTTTCCCATAGCTCAAAAAAAGTTGTAGCTGAAAGGGTTAAAACAGTTACACTTCGAAAGAAAACAATAAAACATTAACTTTATGGAGTGATAACTGCTCGGCAGAACAAAAATAAAATGTTGTTTTTGTGGATCTACCTTGTTGCAAAGGATTATTTTGATGAAATACAACACAAATACTTAGTTTCAGGTCACCCATTTTTCTCATGGGACAGAGATTGTGCATTAGTTAAAAATAGGAAACAACTAGAGAGGTGTGAGGTAGACATTATTAGGATAGTTGTTATAAATAGTGTTTTAATTTTGAATAACCAGCAAACAAGTGTGTCAGTACCACAAAACCCAAAATTTTTAAAGTTATTCAAAGAAATAATTAAATGTTACTTTCAAAATAATTATTGTTAATAAGTTAATATTATTTATTATTTTAATTTAAGTCCTTAGTTAAACCTATTATTATTCTTTATTAACCCTGCGTATCTCTCGTTTTTTGATATAAAGATATATGGCACTTAGCCCAATATTTACCAAAACTTGTACTGCTCTTAGCCTGTTCCAACATTCCTTCAAATTTTTCTAAAAAAGTGTAAACCTAGCAGTAATATTAACATTTTTAAAGCACAAAATTTATCAGGCTCACAATTACAACCTATTTTGGTATTATAAGGTTCTTTAAGTAAGGAATAGTCGATTTACATCATTTTTTAGTTTCCACAAAACTAACATTTTGACACTTAGCTCGGCTTTTACTTATGTGCTACAAATATAATTAATTCGGTAGCTTATTAATTTTGTTTCAATAAAAATTAATACTCTTGCTTTTTAATTGTATTATAGAATAATATTTTACTTACATCCATAAATACTTCATCGAGTTTTCTCCATTCGTGAGCATGTAGACTGGGAGGCAAATATATTATACGTTGATCATCATAAGGTATTAACTGCATGGCAGATCCTTTCTTGTCTACACTACTAATAGCTGTTGACGTGTGCTTAAAAAATAAACAGCAATGTAACTATGAATTAAACGGATAACTCGTTTTGACGTGTATATCATATTAGTTTTACATAATGCTCAATAATGTTTAAATAAACAAACAATAAACAACAGCTACACACTTTGCAAATATTGATTTATGATTTTAAACATATTGTAACTTTGCTTATATAAATGTTACTGACAAACCAAATCTATTACAATGAAATAAATTAAAATCTATATATGTATTATCATTTTTTAAAATCTCACTATTTACATTACTTAGTATAAAAATAATTTTAACCGGCTATAAAACAACTAGGGACTCAAAATACAAGATTTCAAAAGATAACTAAGTCTAGGACATGCCGTCAAAAACGACATGTCGATTGGTGTATATGAGGATATTTTGCTTGAACTCTTAACTCAACATCTAACTTTTTTATTAATAATAAAAAATAAACAAAGCATTACCCCTGGAGAATCCCATTTTTCAGAATTAATTTCTATATCCAAAAATTCTGGAAAAGGTACATCGTCAGGAGCATCTGCTTCGTAAAGTCTTGAACACAAATCTGCAATGGGGGATTCTAGTTGAATATGCGAATCTTTTATTTTTGCTGCTTTGGTGCCAGACGACATTTCTGACAATGTCAAAAATTGGAGAATGTGATCTACTATGGTGAAGTAAACAAGTTGCAAACTGTATTATTTTTTTTTTGAAGTATTCAGTATTTATAATATATTCAGTTCACTGATCGTAGTTTTAACTGTCTACTAAATTTAAAATTAAATTTTTGGTAGGCTAGACAACTTTTGACTTCAACTGGAAATTACTATACAACCAATCACACGTGCTTATAGCCAATATTTTGGTAGCTTAAGTAAACAATTATTCACATGCAGTTTATTAACAAAATAAAATTGTATTAATTACAAAAAACTCTTAAATGTTTAGTTGTGAAGTTGTTTTATTCATAATGTAGTATGTTGAAATTTTTTAAACTATTCGACATTGACGACAATAGTAAATGTTCACAAAAATTTAATTAAAGGTTTTAACAAATAATTATCTTTTGCTTCTCCTTCTCCTGTTTATACAGATATGACGGACTGTGCCTTTAGTAAGTTGCCGTTCCATCGTTTGGGTGGCCTTTCTACTTCCTATAACTTCTTTTTTTTAGTTCAGTTTTATGTGAGTTAACAGAAATGATCTAAAAAGTTCCTAGGCGTGAAACGAGTATCTCTGTTAATAATCCGTTTTAGGACAATTTTCTAAAAATATACTTACTCCTGTAGTTGCGACTTAGATATAAATAAATAGATAAATAAATAAACAAATAAATAAATAAAAGCTTTCCACGATAGTCTACGTGGAAGTAATTATTGGCACTATAAAATCTAATTTGACCTAATATATCACTGCAGTCAATACAGTTGTGTAACAACTTATATAAAAATAAAACCGAAAATATAATTCTTCTTAACTCTAAACGTACCATATTAAACCTGTTACATAACAAATCTTAATCATAACCATGGACGGGATATATTCCATCAAACTTAAATGCTAAATATTTTAAAAGTTTTCGTTGTACCTTATCAATCTGTTGAATATAACATTTGTAAATGGGATACCAAATAAGGCTACAATATTCTAGTTTTATTCGCAATAGCGACACATACAGCAGTTTAATCGGTCTTATATCGCTAAAATTTCTACAGTTTCTCATGATAGAATCGTACATTTTCATAGCATCGGATACTTTCTGCTCAATATGGTTGGTAAAGGTTAATTTTGAATCAAATATAACTCCTAAATATTTAATGATATTACACTTTTCAAGATCTGACCCTTGAATTACACAATTAAAATCAACCTTATTTACCTTTCTAGAATAACTTACTACTTTACACTTAATGACATTAAGAAAAAGTACACACCAATTATATATCTAACTTAGATCGTTCTGTAAATCTATACAGTTAGCAATTGTTTTAATTTCACAGTATAATTTAAGATTATCCGCAAAACATAATTTTCTGTTATTGGTATCTAAAAATCAATCATTGATATATAATAGGAACAACAATGGACCTAAATTTGATTCCTGTTGAACACCGGATGTAGTAAAGATTAATTCTGATATAAAACCATTATAGGATACAAATTGATTCCTGGCTATTAAAGTATAGGTATAGGTAAAACCTTTTAGTAAGGGGGAACTAAAATGACATGAAAAAGAACTTACCCCCATCAACTCCCTAGGCCAAACTCATCAAAATGAAAAAAATTTAAATGGCAAACCCCCTACTTGTGAAACATGATTGAAAAGACTATAAAAATGCTATCCAATAATATAAATAATAATATACAGGTTGAAGTAATAATTGTGAAACTTGGGATTAAATACAAAATTTAATGAGGTTTTTATTGATTCTGTTGATGTCCTTGTTTAATTATTAATTAATAATTATACAGGGTGTTAATATCAGCCGGCTTAGTATGACTTTTAAATTTGTAATGATATCTTCCTTAGTATGATTTTTAATGATAATGGTAGGCATAATTAATGAAAGGAATATTAGGCGATGCTATAATTGGTCCCTTGTTTATACCACGCTGCTGGTGGAAAACGCCAGCGTGCATAAATTCGAGCATGAATTAGAGAACTAAAGAAACACTCACTGCACTTCTAACGAGATGGAGCACCTCCTCACTATGCAGCTCTATTTAGGCACTGGTTGATACTAACTATCCGAACAAATGTATTGAAAGGAGAGGGTTTATTGAGTGTCACCAAGGTCACCAAAATAATGCCGCCTAACTTTTTTCTATCGGGTTACCTTAAGTCAGTTGTCTATAAAACTCAACCTGCGTCACTTAGGGAATTGCAAGAAAAAATTACGCAAGCATGTCGTTCTATTACTAAAACAACAGTTGCCAAAGTTTGTGCAGAATTTGAAAATAGACTGTATTATTCTCTAGAAAGCAACGGAATCCACTTTGAAGATTTACTTAATTAACATTTTTAACAAATTGGTAGTTCAACAAAAACCTTATTAAATTTTCTATTTAAACCAAAGTTTCACAATTATTGGTTCACACTGTATCATTAATATTTATACCATTGGATAGTATTTTTTATAGTCTTTTAAATGATGTATCACAAGTATGGGGTTGCAGTTTAAACATGTTTTAGTAGGATGTAAGTTCTCTTTCATGTCTTGGTAGTTCCCCCTTACCGTTCTAGAAACTAGTTTTAAGCATTTTTTGATATCAGCTTTTGTTCGTGAGATATAGCCCATTGTAAGTTATAAAATTGATACAATGTAGAAATACACAGCTACTAGATAAAACTTTTGAGTTAAATTATTATAAGGTTTTTAAAATAATTTTATAATATTTTCATATAAAAAGTCAAAAATATTTTTATTAAACATTTATCCAAGATTCTTATTAAGAAGTATAATAAAACCAAATTTGTTAACTCCCTTAAAACCAAAACTAATAATTTGCAACAATTCATCAACACTTTCATGGGAAACATCGATCGTCTTGAAAGTATTTTTTGATCCATCTGTGTAATTTTGCAGAGAAACCTGAAATTTCATTTACTCATCTTGTGAAAACCTAATCAATCTAAACTTTCACCCAAATTTCCTGAGATTAGACCAATTTTCTCGTTTTCTCGTCATGGATCGTGTCCCGAAACTTTTTCATTACGTGTCTCACTTGTTCGATCCCTTTTTATGTTCCAATTACATACTGTATTTATTTTATAGTTAATGTATAGCATATACACATTAAAGAACATTGATCATGATAAGTTTTAAATTTACCTATAGATAAATAGTTATCGCATTTTTTACCATAATATTAAAAGACAAAAATGGTTCAACCGGGATTGTGAAAGAGTTCTAAATAAAACAAAAAAAGATATAATTGGTAAGATAAAATCGTGCACTATATGACAAAACGAATATGGAACCAACCAAAAAAAGGCAAAATCTGAAAGAATAAATTACAAACATAAAAAGAGAGCATAGACGTAATCAAAATAAAAAATTCTGCAGAACACAAGAGAGGCTTGTTCTAGGAATACTTAACATTCTTTTATTATTCAGTTTATTGTGTCGTCTGAACTCAAGGTTATTAACACTTGGTCAATTTTGTGATTACACATTTTAACATTACATTATAATTTACACTAAAGAAAATAAAAGATAATGTAAAAGAAGGAAACAACAAATTTTTTTATACAAATTCGTTTCTTGAAGTCAATCTAGTACATTCTCTACAAATTCTAATTCCACAGAGTACCACATTCTTGAGACCTTGTATAGAGTACATTCAGTACATTCTGAATCTAGTCAATCTATTACATTCTCTACAAATTCTAATTCCACAGAGTACCACATTCTTGAGACCTTGTATAGAGTAGTTTTTATTCTTGATCAAATTTAACACACTGCGTAGAAATAATATGTTGAACGGTTAATGATTATTTACACTTTTCACAGAAAGGTTATTTCTGCGAAGCCATCAGGTGTCCATGTTTCAGCCGTGTGTGACCAATTCTTAGCCTGCGAACGAAGAATTTGCCTCTTTTACTTAAGTTGGGTAGCTAAAACGCTTTCGATTTGGGACCTGAAAAGAGATATAGTTGTAATTGAAATTGTTTTGCAGCACTATCAGCAGTCTCACTACCTAAAAAGCCAACGTGTTAAGGAATCCAAATTAATGTTATGTTTGTTCCAGAGGAATATTATGTTTGTTGCGTCATGTATGGCATTAACTAATTGATATTCGTAACATATAGTTTTATTTAAGTCGATGGAGGATATTGAATCTGTACATATTGCAGTGTTCTTGGTTATAGTTTAGTTACATAAGCCTTTGAATGCTTGGAAAATTTTGTACAGCTCTCCTGTATGGATGTATGGTGAACTTCTAAATAATACTATTTGCAGTTGTTACAGAATATCCAACCCTTGTCTAAATTTGAGATACATATGTGTAGAGAATCTCGCCATATAAGTTTGTGTTGACCAGTTCTAAAAAATATTGTCTCAGAATTTGGCTGTTGGTTACATTTTTGTAATAATCATTAAGCAAAAGGTTAATTGTTGGAATGTTATTAATTCAGGGAGAAGTTGATGGCAGTGTATAAGTAACTGTAAATAAAAAGAACGACAGGTCGTGAAAGATGAAGTAAAATTTAGGGTAGTGTCTGGTATTTATTGTTAGGTTCACAATTACAATGTTTTTAAATTAACTTATTAATTGTATAATTATATAGTATTATTTTGATGCGAATACACTTTAGCAAAGTATGTCAGAAAGAATTGTTTTAAGATACCTCTCCTTGACTCTAAGATATTTAAAGCAAATGAGGTTTTTTCAATTTTGTTTCGGTGGTACTTATAAAGATCAGATTTGTATTAATTTACGGCAGTTGCACAACGTTTATTCCACCAAGGTGTTAATTTTCTTCTAGAAGTTATTATACTTTTTCCTACATAAATATTAGCAGAGGAGATATTGCGTTTGTTAAAATTATCTACATCATTATCTACATTTCCATAGAAGAGAATTTTGTTCTATTTGGCGGTCTAATTTAGTTCTGAAACTTGACTAGTTAATATTAAAAA